TAATTTGCAAAAAATAAAAGGTAGATTCCAATTGTATTTTAAAGAATGTGAGAGTTCAGCATTCCTGATGCTGACATGAAAACTCATGATGTTGATTATGACCACGATTATTGATATGACACAAGTCCACTGTGCATTATTACTTTGAGCGGTTTTTCTGTATCTTAGAAGATTGTATCTTCAGCAGGTCCCTGCTTTTCCCTTTCTTTGGGGAGCTCTGCTGTACCTCAGACTGCACATTGAAATTCTCTTGGATTGAAATTGAACATGTCCATCTTCTAGGCCATGAGGGGCAGTTCCATTCCTATATTCCACAGTATTGATGTTTTTAGTCCTTCCTAACGATTAGATACTGTAAATGTTAAACGTCATTGAAAAAATAAAAGCGTTGTTATGGTAATTAATACCAATTGGCATCAGACCAAAAAGAAATGCAAAAATGCTTGTTATTTATTCCGTGGGATTTGAGTCATCTATCATTAAGGAAAGAAAAGGGGCCGTTCTCCCATATATATATACATGAAATAAAGAGACTTCTACTACACAGACACCTGGACTTTGTAATTTGTATGACACAACAGTGCTTTTCATTAAGAAATTGCAAAACTCTAAAGAACTCATTTTCTAATGAAAACTATTTTTTTTGATTTTGCAAATAATATGAATTCGATTTGTTCATATGCATTGTACAGTAAGTGTACACCATAAAATAAGGCTTGCAAATTTTCCTTTTTGTATTCTTCCTATGCAATACTGTAGTTTCAAGTGTATCTGTAGCAGAAAGATACTCTGCTAATTAGTTTTGAACTCAACCATCTGCAGATACTGGGAATAACATGAAATGTGAAACATGATGACTCAATAGGGTTGGTTTGCACGAGGTGTCGGAGTGAGAGGGCCTACGAGTTCACATCATCCCCAGGCAAAGTGTACAGTACAAGTACTCCTCTCTGACATCACCCAGTCACTAAACTATTTAAAATCAGAAAACCTTTTGCAGTACTGTTTATTAATCAGAAGCAGGTTGAAAGCCAAAGGACACATGCCCCCTCCTTCTCCCACGCTGGTGTAGAGAATGGCACTGTACAACTCACTGTAGGTGGTCAGACCAGCTCCAGTGCTGGGGTTTTATCCCAGTCGGGTCACAGGAATGAAGGCCACTGCTTCCCTTCTCTCTGAAACCTCTCTCTTTGGGGAGCTGTGTACCCACGTTTGCTAAAAAGAGTGGAAACAAGTTGGGATCAAAGCACAGAAGGAGTTTATACCAAATTGATCAATCAGAAAAGCAGAGCTGTGGTTACCCTGTTACACTATGAAACACTGTATTACATCATTTTGCGCAAAATTCCTTTTGATTTATTTATTGTACCACTCCATACGGTCTGTGTATGGAGCAGTGGAAAGCTTTGGGGGACAACTGGTAGTGAAGGGCACTATATAACTATATTGAACTGTGAGTGTTCTGTGGGAGTTCTAAAGAAAGTCTGAAATTCCTTCCCTGGAATTCTTTAAGAGCAGGCAACTCACATGGGCACATTGCAAGCTTACACCCTTTGAGCAATTCGTGGCTTTTTGAGCTCAAGAAAAACTAAAGACCGAAAAACAAAAAAGGCTAAAGAAAATTAGAAAAACACTTATATGCCTAAGGTCTTATTTTCTTAACAGTAACAGGCTGGGTTTTCAATTTAAGAAAAAAAAACATGTCAGTTTAATTTTGGCACTGAATCCTTGGTGAGTACTTCACTTTGGAGATGACTAGCTTGGTGGACAGCGCAGTGTATTGCAAGTGATCCGATCTGTACAGTTTTATGTAATTTGACTATAATCATAGATGAAATCTGGTCTGTTTTAATTTCAAGCTCGCTGCTGGCCCTTCATTATGGGGACCAGGTTGGGAATTCATTTGCAGCACTTAAAATCTGAATGGGTAGTTACTTATACTTAGGAAAGACAAGGCAGCTGTTTAGGTAGAGGGTCTCGTAAAAAAACAAACAATGGTTTGATAGTATGTTTGCAAGCCGACTGCAAGGAAACAATGAAGTGAAGAGGTGCCACTGATATCAGCAGCCTGTGATAGCAGCACTGGCGTGGTTTGAAATTGTCAGGCGATCACAGGCTGTAGAGAACCCTCACACACTGATATTCCATTGCGTGTGGTAGCCCTTTTAATTGAGGTGGATTCACATGTACTGTATTTCTTGGTACAATAAACTGAAAGAGCTTAATGAAATTTGTATTCAGAGTACACCTGAGCTGATAGACTGGTACTAATGTGGTTTTTAATTGTAGGGCAGGGAATTTGTTTTCGTTCTTAAGGCTCAAGATACCCCATTGAGTTGTGGACCTTCTTGATCTCACTAACACGCTCACTTCTGTTCATGTTTCATTAGATCTTATTACTGATTATTAAAGGGACGTTCATATATTGTTCCAGTTTTGTTTTTGATTTCTGTTCCCGAGGCACCTGCCTTTTCCAGCGGTAACTGGTATTGGGACAGAATTATTTCAAGTCGGACAAAAAAGGGATGAAGTGGTGGAGGTACTGATGCGCAATGCAACACTACCAACATTGCATCATACCATAGGGGACTTTTTACGCCCTGTGTTGTCTCTGAAACACCAGTGGCTCATATACTGTACAGGATGTAATACAATATGGATTTGAATGCAGCTGGCTGTAAATGTGTTCTCCCAGTGAAGGGTGCATAAGTGGCCAAGCCTTTCTGATGTTGGAAGATACGAGTGGAGGCGTTCCATTAATATTTAAACATTGATTGCTCTCAGGGTGCAGAGTATGGAATATTGTATCGACAAGATGTCTTTTAACCTTGCATTTAAAGCAATAACTGTCATTTGAGTCCTGGGTCAGCAGTGTAAGACGAAGCTGTGAGTGTTTCGGGGAGCATGTGTACAACATTTTTCTCTCTCTTTGGGCTGAAGTGCGCAGAGACATGTATTACTATCACCGTGCTGGCAAAACTGGAGCCCATGACCCCACGATGACATTATCTGAACTGCGTGGTAGTACCAGTAAGTGGTAGATCTCCAGTTTTCAGCATGCAAGTCAGGAAGTAGCTTTATAAAAACAATGATGATATGGCAACAAGTTAAGAAATAAGGGAAAGGGACAAAAAAAACAGGAAACGATATCACTGATACTATTAAATGTCAACGAAGGGATAGGAAGGCATGGTTAAAGTTTGATAGAAAATGGAAAGACAGAACTATTTATTATTGCTCTGCTGCCAACGCAACAGTCCCCTTTTGGCAACAGCGTCGGAATATTGCAAAAACAGATGAGGCAGAGGAAGGACGTTTATTAAATAAAACGGCTCTCGGCAAGCAGGCTTGCTTGTAATGTCAGTCCGTTTTATTGTGCTGGGAGATGGAACTGAAGGTAATATCAAGCCCAGAGGCACAAGTAACAGCAGGTAAAAGGTGATGGGTCTCTCTGTAACACTCTCCAAATGTCAACTACCCCTTTTTCCCCCTTCCCTTCCAAAGAGAAGTATTGGTTTGTGTTGGATTTTTTTCCCCCCACTTTCACTCATACACCTCCTCAAAGTGCCACAACAGGGTTATGAAACCGTGCCAGGGGATGCTGGCAAAGCTCTGCAGGCTTGGGATGAACCTCTCCCAGATGAGATCTGCTTTTATTGTTTACCAGGTGTTGACAGTACCAGGTGAAGCAGACAAATTGCTTTCTAGCACAGCCTAAAGAAAGCCAGCCTCTGACCCAATTAGACTTAATCATCAGGGGGCCTGCTATCTGATTTCAGCACATTACCTGGAGATTGTCTACACTGACTACGGCTGGAGGTTTAATCCCTTTTTTTTTTTGCTTCCTGGATTCCCTCAGACTGGAAAATTGGCGCCAACCCTACCCACACCAGTTTAACCCTGCGTTAC